GCGCGGGAGGAAGCGGCGCGGGGCCGGTGCCGGCGGGGCTCGTCCCGGGGGTGCTCCGCGGGGCGCCGGCGGCTGCTCCTCGCCCGGCCCCGGGGGAGGAAGCGGGGAGGAACCTCGCGTGGGGCAGGTACCGGCCCCGCAAGGTGTTCACCGCGGCCGGGGTTGGTTTCCATAGGCGCTACCGTCAGCTGGAGGCTTCTGGCCTTTTTGTGTCCCGTGAAGTCTGGAGCACGTCTCCATCCCGCTGCGTTTTGTCCCTTCAGAATGTCTTTAAGGAACGGAAGTAACGGTGGATCCTTGCACTAACCAAAAAGCTGCTTCATGTCATACTTATTTAATAGATGGAATTGGGAGGCACCATGTTCTTTTTCCTGACAGGCCTAGGTTCAGATATGGCTTATTGCCACCTTAATGTGTACAGAATTTGGAATTGTATGCGGTAGGAGAATAAAACCAAATGTTAAATACAATGCTAATGACTTGAAGTAACCTTTTGTAGTTATTTGTACAGAAGCTTGTAACTGAGCATCTCTATAACAGAAGTACTTTTGACCTGGGTTCATTTAATTTTCTATAATGAACGAGGATTCTTTCACAGGATCAGTTTCCAAAAAAAGCCAAGTGAGAAGACTTGCAACGAAGATCACTCATAGTATAATTCTGTCTTTAATTTTTGTGTGACTTTTTTAATAGTTCTGGAATTGAAGGTGGCTTAGATGAATGCTCGTTATTTGACCTAAGTCAGCTTGTGGAAGAGTTCAGTTCACGTTCTTGCTGATAACTTTGTTGATGTTTCCTGAATGGAAATAAAATTTTACTTGAGCAGTCTGAAGGTAAAATTTGCTTGCCTGTAATCCAGAGTAATTAATTAAGGTCAAGTTGGGAATGAGGCTAGAGTAGTAATTGCTCATAACAGTGCTGCCTTGACTGAAATGTAAGAAGCATGTAATTAATTCTTACCTTTAATTGGATAAGTTCTCTGAAGCGCTTTTCTTTTGCTCTTGTAGTTCCTGATAACCTAGGCAATGATATTGACCTAAATTCCCTTGGTCAGGAAAAGAGGGTGCAATCCCTAATTCAATTATAGGGGATGATAAATTCTCTGTAACTGCATATTTTATTTATAACTGCATCTCTAGAAGCTAGGTATTGTCTGTGGCTGTAATTTGTCAGACCTTGACAGGAGCTGACACTGTTGCTGTTGGAAAGCTGTCCTGCCACTTGTCTCCTCATTTCTGCCCATATGGCACTGTCCTGCGCAGATGTGAGCACTTGTGCAACAGTGTTGTGAGCTGAGCTAAAGAATGTATGCGGGGCGGGGGGAGGACTTATTGTTCAGCCCTACAAGTGGTTGTCATCAGTATTTAAACTGCATTCTTGATGGTTGCCTAATTGTGTGGGTGCAGTGTTTTGTTTTTTGTTGTGTTTTTTTTTTTTAATTAAAGGAAAAAGAAAAGTTGCATATACTTTGGACTTCATGGTACATCATATTGCGAAGTCTTGTGAAGTGCTTGTAATAGTTCATTCAACAGTTGAACAAGTCTACTCCTTTCTTTTTTGCTTCAATTTATTCCTTATCTTCATTCTTCTGTTCCTTGCTTGCCTACAGGTTTATTTTGACTTCTTGTGCTTCCTGTAGGAAAAGACTTTTTTCAGGTAAGAAATAGTAACTTGGAGCCCTTGGTTTGTCCTTGCTGTCAAAATGCCAATAGCTACATGGCCTGTATATTTAAAAAAAAAACCTTTTGGAGCTGGTGGCTTTTCAGTTTTTTTGTGGATGCAAGCACCAGACTTAAGTGATCATGCGTGTATGTGTGTGTACGGGTGTATAATGTGTCCATGTTGACTGACTGCAGATGTATGTGGCAGAAAATAATGCACGTTCGACTATAATTAACTTCTTTTTGAGGCTTGTTAGTTTGTTGACATGCCTTTGTGTGGTTTTTACTGGGCTTGAGAACTTTCGGCCAGCCTTGTTTCAGTATAGCCAGCTGCAGTCTGCCTTATTTTTTTTTTTTTTTAAGAACTCCATTTCAGGTAGGTTTATGAAATTGGTTAAAAAGATATAACTGTCTCCATCTGTGTCTTTAGATAAGTAGCCTGTATTAAAAGAAAGAGGGGAAGCACTACTGCTTAGTGTGGGGTGGATTTACTTTTTTCAGTATGAAGTTAGCACCAAAGAGCTTTCCTGATGTTGTTGCTGATGTTAAAATACTAGTTTCAAAACAGACTTCTTTTTCTGCTACTTACACTCAGCACTTCTTTCCCAAGGAAATGGAGAATATCCTTCTGTTCCACAGAGTGCTTGAGTCAGAAAACTATCTCGAACACCTCTAGTGCTCCAGATGTAGAACTGAGCATCCTTAGCCTAGACCTGTGTATCAGTGGCACAAAGACAGTGCCATTGATAGGGTTTGAGTTAGGGTTTTTAGTTAGTCTTAAAGCTGAAGGCTTAAAGGCTTCTGTTAGCGTAGCAGAGGTTGCAAGTATACCAGACTTTAATTGCTTCTTCACTATAATGCAAGTTGCTAATGGCTTTTTTGTTATGTGATCCCCTGTATTTATATCAGTCCTTTGCCTGGATTGCAGCTCGTGTCTTCTCAGTATTGCTGTCATTGGTCTTGCAAAAAGATGCACTGATTTATTTATTTGTTTTTTCCCTGCTGTCCTTTCATCTCTGAGCTGGGGGACAAGTCTACGAGCAGCCTTGAAGTGCACCCCTTTCTTTCCTTTTTGTAATAAAACAGGGGAGTCAACATCCTTCTTACAGTGTGGCACATACACAGATGATTTGTCTGCTTAATGCATTATCTTAAGTAAAGACATAATTTTTCATCAAAGCAGTGTAACTTGCAAGATTTCCTTTTATTTGACTGTTGTGAAAATACCCTTTTCTTTATCAACAAGTAGGGTGGATTTGGTCCTGTCTAGTCAGAAAGCAGTTGAATAATGAAACTGACAATGCCCTGTCTTAAGTGTCAGAAGACTATATACTGACTGGTTGGAAACAGTGCCCTATGGGTTTTTCAGTGGCCAATATTGCAGGTGCTATAAATTATCTGTGAAAAATGTTTCTCAAATTTTTTTTTATGGGTGTTTTTACAGGTAGACTTCTTCCAAGAGTCAAAAGTCCAAGTTCAGTTACTGCTGCAGGTACTGTTACCAGATCATTTTTGTGCTTTTGTCCTGGCTCCTTCCATTTTCAGTCATAATCTTTTCCTCTGATAGCTAAAATACATGTTGATGCTCACTGATAAGAAAAATCTTAGGTGCAACAATCTGCTGTAAGTGTATAGTGTGCTGCTGGAACACCCAGAGCAACCTCAAAGCCAGGGCAAGACATCTGGTCAAAACTGAGGAATTAATTGGTCAGCTTACTGATGAACACGTAGCCTTAAGTATTAAATTTCTATCTCGGATGTGGACTTCTCTAGAATACCAAGGTATTGCTTTCAGAAAGGATGTAGGTGGTAGTACTTCAGAGCCACCTAATACTTAAATGTTTGTACTGATTTTAAAACATTGGCATCGAGTGCATAGTGGTATTAGACTCAGTAATCTAGGTGTTGTAACCAAGCAGACAAAATGTAGGCAAATGGAAGTCATGTTCTTGGACCCTGCCCATTTCTTAAAGGTATGTTCTTTAAAGAAGAAACCTGTTGTCTTTGCAAAATTGTGAAATTGTCATATGAGTTTTTGAGCCCATGCGTGGTTCCTTTCCTCATCTGTTGTGCAAGGCCACTCTCTGACAGCACCTTGTCCAGGGCTGTTCAATAGACTCAACCTTAGGCTGCTGTAACACCACCCTAAACCAAATACTTACATATAGTCCCACTGTAAGTAAGTTTGTCCAAGGAGTTCTGTGGGTTTTTTGTTGTTTTTGCTTCTGAGGGAGCATAGAATGGCAATGAGAATCGGTCCACACTTTTCCTTTTCCTGATCTCATTTTTATTTGACAAAGGCAGTGTGAGCCTGTAGGTACCCATTAGGCAGGGCAAAAGTGTCTTTTTGAGGACAGTTACACTCGGTGCATTCAGCATCATGAAGTGGTTTTATACAGCTTCAGTTCAGGTAGAAAAACAGGAGAAACTGCATTGGAGCGCCTGATCTGCGGGCTAAATTAGGCTTCTCGGAACAATGCAAATGGCTGTAGCTTGCTTCTGCCACTCCTCCTGCAGTCTGGAGAAGCCTTGCATGCATTGACATGAATTGGATTTGTGGATGAAGAAACTGTTCTGGAGAAACTTAGTTTATTTCTTGTATGACCAAAACGCAGATCCCTCTGCCATGTGATGAACGTAGTTTATTCAACTGAGGTTGTCTTCGTTGACAGGAGAGGACTGCATTTGGTCATCTTGGCTTCTGTTTGTTCATGTGGCTAGACATGCATGGATTGATGTGATGAACTCTCATGATTTGGAGACTGTGCTTCTATAAGGAACAATGCAGCTTGCTTGAGCCATCTGCAGGTCTTTTAGCTGTTAAACATTTGAACTCTTAATTTCCTTGAGAGAATTCTTGCTGTCTGATATACTAATTTGCACCTTAAAAATATCCTTCACACTAAATTTATTCTTTCTTAACTAAGAAGATCTAAAACCATGGAGATGTTTAGAGTCTTAAATTGCTAGAAGCTTTTTCAATGAAAGAAGTGTCTCAATTTTTTTCCCCTGATTTGTTAGGCTGCTTTTTTTGTGGCGGGGGGGGGGGGGGGGTGGCTAGACATGCATGGATTGATGTGATGAACTCTCATGATTTGGAGACTGTGCTTCTATAAGGAACAATGCAGCTTGCTTGAGCCATCTGCAGGTCTTTTAGCTGTTAAACATTTGAACTCTTAATTTCCTTGAGAGAATTCTTGCTGTCTGATATACTAATTTGCACCTTAAAAATATCCTTCACACTAAATTTATTCTTTCTTAACTAAGAAGATCTAAAACCATGGAGATGTTTAGAGTCTTAAATTGCTAGAAGCTTTTTCAATGAAAGAAGTGTCTCAATTTTTTTCCCCTGATTTGTTAGGCTGCTTTTTTTGTGTGGCGGTTAATTATTTCTAAATGCAAGAAGGGTTTTTTCTGTATCTCTGAATAGTTTAAAAGATATTTTTAAAAATTCAGAAAGCATCGATCTTACCATGATATATCTTGAAAAGCCATGCTTGTTAAATAAGAATGTCTGTAATTTGAGCTTGTTGAAGGCTTGTATCTGACCTAGGGTTTTGGTTGTTTTTTTAAAATAACCTGTACTGAAAGATGACTTGTTAAAGTTTGTTAACCACTGTGGTATTGCAGCAGAAATCCACCAGTATGAGTAGGAATTGTATGTTACATCAGAAGTGATGACTTCAGTTGTGCGAATCCCAGTCTGCTGCAATTGTTCTGCAAAAGAATTTTGATGTACTTCCAAATCTAGAACACTCGGGCATTTTGACCCTTTGACTTGGATTTGGCAGTTTTGGTTTTGTTTGTGGGCTGCTTCTCATACTTGGTATTTCAGAATTGAAGCTTTCTCTTTTTTTAGCTACTGTCCCCAGAGTTAAAGACTGTTTGGGCGATAGGAGTATAATTGAGGCAGTGATATTCATGGGGGTTTCTCAGTAGTAGTTCTCATTAAACTGAGAGGAAAAGAGGGTATTAGATTTGGGGCAATTGGTTGCATTTAAGTATCTTTGAATGTTTCAGATACATTTGTTTAGAAGTCTTATCTGCCAAATAGCAGTTAGATAGAAAAGTGGGGAGAGCCATTAAGAATTTCTGCAACTTGGAGTAACAGAGAAAGGGAAAGTGTGTGGGGGGGGGGAATAAGGGAGGGAGGGGACACCCAACAGTAGGAACTCTTGTTTTCCTATTAGCAATCCATTGGAAGAGATGGTGAACTCATTATGATCATCTGTGCTGGATCTTTAGCCTGTCATTTCACCTAGAATCACACATTCTCAATGTACAAGATAAAACTGTAGGCTGTAATTTCTTTTAAGTGCAACTTGGCCCATAGGGTGGATTTAACATGTAAGCGATCTATTCTTTAAATGTCTGCAGACAGTACCTTGAATTTTGCATATACAAGGTTTGGTAGTTACTGTCCGCTTGCTTAGTTAATGGGACTATTCCAAAATATCTGGTGCACCAAAGTAGGAGTAATGATAAAGTTACTGGTGGCTTCTGTTTGGCAAAGGATAAATGAATGATGGAGAAATTTCATGTGGATATGCAGAGAGAGTGTCTGTGTGTGGATCTCTAAGTTTCTCTCTAATTTGGATCATAGCAGCCTGCTGATTCTGTGTATTGAAATATTTTCAGATTAAATTGATATTTTAGAGGTTTTATTGCATGATTGGGATATCATTGGCTGTAGAGAAAATATTTTTTTTGAACTCTAAGCTACTCTTAGTCTCAGAATTCACATGACATGTTTTTCCTTCCCTATAGTTGTACAACAGTGTTTGGAATGTTTGCAGCCATATAAGCAACGAGTTTCTTCTTGGTGAGTATAAGCATGGATCCTTGGTTTTGTTAATTGTAGCTATTCTTTAAGCTTTTGACATTTTGCTTTAAAATTCAGGTTTTTCTTAATTCTTGCAGAGGCACTGTGGATAATATTTCTCTAAATCCTTATATTCTTAAAACTGCACATTTTCAGTTGGAGGAAAAAATGGCAGGTTCATTAAAGTAGATTTTCTTGAATATTATTTTATTTGGGAAAAACCTGCTTTATTTCATGTGACTTAAACCCTTTTCCCAAATCTTCTTGCTTGTTCAGTGTTTAAGAGTGTTTGTCTCCTACCTTTAGTAGGTTACAGGAAAAGAGGGGAAACCAGAACAGCTAAATGAGAGATGATCAAATGATTGAAAAGAATTCTTTTCAGTAATGAGTATTTATTTCTTTAATTGCACTTGGTAATTCAAAAAGGTTTTATTATAGAAAAATATTTCTTCTGTTCTGTTGAACTGCCCATGTTCATAATTTCTGCTTCTATGTTGGTCTGTCCCAGTCTTGCCACCATTTGAATTGACAGCACAGTTACATAGGACGTTGTTGAAAGAGTGGAAAATGACATTCTCGATGTCCTGTAATCTTAGGGAGAGCGTGAGGATCTTGATGGGGGGAGGGTAACTTATGTTTGCTGACACCTTTTCCCTTTTGTCACCGAGTACTTTGAGTAAGTCTTGGTTTCTGCCTGAAGAGGAGAGCAAATGTAAATTTTTACTGCTGTCAGTTTTGTTAGTCTACTTGTATAAACTTGAGGAAAAATAGGAGTCTGAAATAAAGTCTTATGCTTTGAGGGAATGTTTCAGTGTTGAGGAATTAGCTGTACAGTGTTCTTGTTATGGAAATTGTAGGTATCAGTTCAGGATCCAATTTCAATGTTGTGTTGATCAGTCAAAGAGTTTGACTGTGTAGTTGTTGATTGAATCTGGGAAACTTTTAAAGTAAGAAGTGAGTGCTGGTTAAGATCTAGTTGAGGATCCTGCACGATGCAAACAAGAACTGCATGTAGTTCAATGTTTTGTTTGAAATGTGTCTTTTGGATAGAAAAAGGGAGGTGATGCAGTATTCCTTGGAATTTATTGAAATGTCTTGATGGTCTTCATGTCCAGTTTGAATCTTTCCTGTTTCTGCTCCTGTTGCATTAAAAAAAAAATTTGACTGAAGATCTGAGGCATTGTTTTGAAATACCAGTGCTAATGACATCTTCTGAAACTTGTGTGTGTCCTAAAACTTACTCATCTTGCTATGAAATGGTATGCATAAACAAAACATGAGGCAGGAGCATAGGGATCCTTAGATGAATAGCTAGTACAGAAACTGTTTCTGGGTTAATACTTTAACAGGTGTGGGGTTTTACTTCTGTTTTTATATGTAGGGTAAAATACAGTGAGGCATACTTCATGGTAGCCACGCTACTGTAGGCAAAACCTGGTAGGCAGGCTTTTTTTGTCTGCAGGCAATAAAAGTCTGTTGTAGTCAGTGCCAAAACAATTTTTAAAAGTGGTGTTTAAATGTTTGTGAGACTTGTACTTAGTCTTCATAAGATGCCATTAGGCTTGTATAATATAAATGGTGTCTGTAAATACTGTTTTGCAGTCTGACGTAGCCATTACCTTTTCTCATCTGCAGGTGTGTGGTTTCAGCACAGCATGGCTGTGGTCATCCACTTGCAAAGTCTTCTGATTGTGGTGGGGACCATGGACTTCTCTGGATTGACCATTCCTGATGGGGGCATGCATATTGTAGGGGGTGAACTGGGTGAGGCTTTCATCATTTTACCACTGATGAAGATGCGAGGCTTGGTATCGTGTATGCGGATGGTATAAGTAAAAGGTCAAAACTAACTATTGCAGAGCAATAAAAACCTTATGTGCAAAATGTGGTTGGACTTAGTCCTTGGCAGTTTCAAAATGGGCACATAGATGCTAGCAGTTTTGGAACACTGGTGCTGGAGTGAATGGCAGTGTCAGCTTAGGCTTTGTGGACTTGACTGTAAACCTGTTTTGGCATAGAAACTGCTTATACTGCTATACACAAAGGAAACAAAACAAGCTTGTGTTTTGCTGCTTGTGTAGGAACTGCATTTCACATCTTGGGGCAGCCTTTAGTATCCCAGTTCAGTTACATCTGTGCTGCATCTCTAGTGAACACAGGACAATCTCTTGCTAGTTGCTTTTACTCCCTGGTTTTGCCAGTGTTTTTTACTAACCCGCTACCTGTTCTACCTACCATGTAGTCCTACTGAATCACCAGTGATGTAGAATGTCTCATAGGAATTGGACAGCAAGCTTACCATCCAGAATAAAACATAATACTACTTTGCATTGAAAATTTATATTTATGCAAACTGTCAAAGTTTACCATGTTCCTTTATCAAGCCAGAGAACTATGTTTTTTCATGGAGTTCCTCTTTTTTTTCTCTAGCGTGCTCTGATGGAGGAGGTGGTGGAAATTCCTGGGTTTGGCATAGATACACTAAAGAATGAAGGAGATAAGAGGTTGAATTGTGGGAGTGATTTGCCTTTCTTCTGCGCTGCTTATGAAGTACTGAATTGAGACAGTACTAAGTTTGGAAGTGGGACTGATTTAAAGGCAGGGGTTTTGGTGGGATAGTACGTAGGGAATGGTTTAATCATACTTACCAGTGATTTGGAAAATAATATTTGCAAAGGTAGGTAAGATTTTGAAAAAGGCTGCAGTGATTCTGCAGTTTCCAGAGAGAAAACAATAGAAGCTGTTATTAGTGAAGGTCTGCTGTAACTGCTTGGTTTTGCTCTATATGGTAATACGAAAGATTTCTCCAGTTTCTAGAGGAACCCTCTTCTTGCACATCACTTGGAACTTAGTGATGTGCCACGTTTGGGGCTCAGCACTGACAGAGCTTAAAATTGAAGAGAATAAGAACGACTACAGGTGTGGGTATACAGGACATGCACTGTTAGCAGAGCAGAAAACTTGTTTTAAAAGACAAAAATCATGATCCCTGAAGGGATCAATATTAATGTAAGTGTATTCTCCTCTGCATTGCCCTGATATAAATGTGCCTTCCTGATTGGTACCTGTAAGTATTTGAATAGTCTTTAAAAGCTAAATTACCTCATGGTGACTTTTATGGGAAAGAAAAGGCTCTCCCTTTTAAACAACAGAAATGTGTGGATTTACAAATATTTTCTGTTGGAAGTAGTGGCTTGTCTAAATCCTGGAGTATTTGTTCCTGAAACAGGTCTAATCCTCATAGTGGAATAGGGGGTTTTGGAGAAAAGCCTTACAGCTTTGGGGGTAGGCCTAGTAACTACCCCTTGTTTTAATCGTGGTCTTGAGCACTTGAGAAAAATGGATTCCCAGGGTTACCAAAGTGAAAAGCCTGCTCGCGTCTTGGTTCAGTTACTAAGTTAGTACAAATTCATTTTCTGCTGAAGAAAATTTTAGAAGAGATGTTCTGGTGAAGTGTTATTTCCAAGTTGTATCTATGACTCTGATTAGTCTGGGGTTGTTTGTTAACAATCTGTTTTGATGTAGTTCAGGGTTTTTAAGTAGTCCTTGCAGAAGAGGACTTTCAGCAGAGGCTGAAACATAAAATCTCGAAGCAGAGGCAGGCCCCTGTGTTTAGTGTTTTCTTTCTGAGAAACAAAGTTCTCTGTATGGTCAAGGTCATGCTGGTGAAACATGGACGGGCTTTAGCGTTGCCTGTTGGCCTTTGTTTGTGAAGAGCTATGTGACGGCTCCCAGTGATGGTTGTATCGTATGGTTTCGGTCTTGCTCTAAGGCTGTATGTTTCAGGGTAAAATTGTTGAGATCCTCTACTGAGTAACTTATCTTGTGTAATGTTCTACCAAGTATGTATCTGCTTGAGGAAGCTGTTCCTGAAATGAGCTGCAAATGAAAAAGCCTGCTTTGCAAGGCATGCTGAGTATAGGGACTGCTGGATCAAGTTAAATCCAGTTGCAGGATGTGAGAGAGAACCCAAAGCAGCCCAAGTTTCATAACTTGGGAGGGGAGAGGAAGGAAGACTTTGGGGGAGGGGGCAGTGATATGAGATTTTTGCCCATACAGTTTTTCCTCTCTTTCCACTTTCTGATCAGCTGCCTTGTAACAAGCTTGGCTTAGTTAGTGAGGTGCAGTACGGTGTGCTCTGACAAATGCTGGTGTTCAGCTGACTCTAGCTGTAAAGTGGACAGAGTTCAGATTTTTCACAGAATCTGCAGCCTCTGTAAATATGGCTAAATGGCTTCTGTTTTTTCAGATTTCCCTTTAGTTGTGATACTCGTAGGTTTTTTGATACTTGACTGAAACTATAGTAAGGCCTTCCTCACCAAAACTGATGTTTATTTATAGAAGCCCTATTGTATGAGATCCTGTTACTGAAGTCAGGAGGTGTGTATGTTCCTCTTCCAGTCTCATGTAGGTGAGCTGAAATTACTCCCATTCTTCAGGATTGCAGCTATTACTGAAGGAGATCACTGCAGAGAGCTTCAATAATGTACTTCCAGTACTTTTAGGAGTACGTGGTCTTTGTGTGTCCCTACTTAGTGAAAAGGAAAAATAAGTTTACTAGGACAAGAGTCATCTTGCAGCTGTAATTTCTTCTACAAGTGTTAAGCAAAATGCCTGTCCCACATTTGGAGGCATGGAATTCTATTGCTAGTGCGAGTAATGATGTAAATCTGTGGAGAAAATAGTGGATGTTTGAGGTGTGGGTGGATAAACTGTTTAAAAAAGAAAAAGTAGCTTTGCACTTGGCTTCTTGGATTTCCAGTTTTTTTTTTTTATTCTTCTTACTGTTTATTTTTCATCAGAACGTAAAACCCCAACCATCCTAACTTTTCCTTAATTTCCTTCCCCCTCTTCTTTCCCAATTAAAAGTTATGGAGGTGATAGGTAAATCCTCGCCCCCCCCGCCTCTAGCCTTATTAGAAGATAGTCATTCCTGGACTGATTCAGGTCCTTGCTGGGCGAGCTCACAGTTTTTTATCAGATACTCTAGAAAGGTAACTTGCCATGTTTCTCAGTTCCTAGGTGGCTAAATTTTTTTTTTCTTCTGTTGTGAATCACTGTGTTGTGAATTGAGCTTACAGGCAATAGCATATTTTTTTTCCCGCCTCTAGCCTTATTAGAAGATAGTCATTCCTGGACTGATTCAGGTCCTTGCTGGGCGAGCTCACAGTTTTTTATCAGATACTCTAGAAAGGTAACTTGCCATGTTTCTCAGTTCCTAGGTGGCTAAATTTTTTTTTTCTTCTGTTGTGAATCACTGTGTTGTGAATTGAGCTTACAGGCAATAGCATATTTTTTTTCCCCATACCATTGTAGGCTGCTTTAACTGTAGTGAAGATAAGTCTAAAAGCAGTGCTTTAGAGGAAGACAGCAGATCATCTTCTGGTAGAGAAGTTTCTTTGCAATGTGATTATGATACTCGAAGTGGTGGGGGGTGCCTCCATGGCCAGCCCTTGGCAAATGGCCTGGTTTAAAAAATGTGTCAATGGAGTAGCTTTTCCCTGCAATAGAAGCTTTATGACTTTCCTAAAGATCTTTGGTTTCTGAACCACACTTGAACTTAGAGTAGTTCTTCATAAAATAATGTTAATCCTTTTGTAGATGCAGCTCAGTTGATACCATTGCTGTTTATGCATTGTGTGAACCAAAATGCTGCTGCTTATTTCTGTTGCCAGTGCATGTCGTCTTATTCTTGTGGTGTGAGACTAGAAGGTTTTTTAATTTAACTTGCATCCATTTCGTACATCTTTAATTGAATCTTCAAGATACAGCCTTACTGTAAGGAGGATGGTATCGAATAAAACTTACTCGTACTTTTGGATCTTGTGAGCTTGAAGACAAATTATGATCCATTCCTGTAGTATCTTATAATTGTGGGAAACGACTGACAAAAATTTGGGAAAAATAGCTCCTGATCAGGCTTTCCACTAAATGTACCTTGAGAGAAACTACTTTGGCAAGATTTCTTAAGTCTTTATATTATCTGTTGGAAGCATGTCTTAATGAAGACTACTTTTATTTTCTAGTTAAAATGGTGAAGTGGGAAGAAAGCAATGCAAATATGCAAGCAGTATAGACAGTCTTCTAAAATTTGTTAAACTACCTATTTCTAATGTCTCTGAACTCTATTGCATTTGTAGTGATGAGGTGACATAGTGTTCTTGAATTGTTTCACTAACATGGTAGCTGTTGAAAGATTGTTACTGTGTTTGTTTTTGCCCACTTCCTGTTTACTGGATTCCTTGTTTTCATCAAAACTGGGAGGGGGGAGAGAATATCATGAAACTTCTGTCTCAGTTCTGAATAAATATTGCGTTGCAGAGTTCTTAATTGACCTGGAACTTGGACTGATGGACAAAGGTTGAGCTTCAATCTTTCATGGTCCAGTAGCTACCATTTTGAACACATTTTTGGAATGATTCTGCACACTGTCACTTGGGAACCCTTGTTTAAGAGATAATTGCCCCCATTACTTTCTGCAAACAAAAAGTAGAGGTCCCTTGACATCTAGCTTTTGGGGATTATGGTGCATAAGCTTATTTTGTGTATGTCTTGATTAGTGATTGATATTTAATTGCATTTTTCAGGGGAATAAAATCAGCAGTGTTGATATTACAAAATGACAAAACATCCTCCGAATAGAAGAGGGATCAACTTTGAGGTGGGAGCCCAGTTGGAAGCCCGTGACAGATTAAAAAACTGGTATTTTTTTAAAACCATTCATATTATATTAACTCTAAGTCTTTAATATCTTAAACATTTTGTATTGGTACAATATTTAGAGTCCTGGTCATTGGTTTGTAGGAAAGTAGTTAATTTATAAAAGTTTATATACCAGTGGTTGAAATGGGCGATAGATGCTGATATGTTGTTCTGGCCCTTAAAAAGGAGTGTACTGGTGCTATCTGTGTCTGGGAAATAGGACTACACATAAATCTAGTGGGACTTCAGACTCTGGTACTCCTGAATTCACATTTTAAATTCTGTGCTATACACAGATTGCAGAGCAGACATTATGAAGAGAGAAATCTTTTGCAGTACAGAATACCCAAGGTAGTTCCTCACTACTTTCTTTCCCACTGCTGTTGTGAATTCATAGGCTTTAATGTCTGATTGAAATTCTTGCGGCCTGTGCTCATGTGAGAGTGGTCAGCTTTAGAATTAAAGAACTGGGTGGGGAAACACATTCCACACTAAGAAGTTTGCTCTGGAGACTGTCTTGCAGACTTCAGTTGTGAGGAAGAGTACTTTTCTTGACTAACCACTGCAGTAGGAAGGGGAAAAAGGGCCGAAAAGTTACTTGGGCTAACCTTAAGCCTTCTAACTCTGTTCGTTTTAGGAAGTCAGCTCAAAAATTAGCATTTAATAATGTTCAGTGTTTTCATACAATGAAAATTGCTGGAGACAAAGACTTCTTAAATACAGGAATTAATTGGGTTTTGTTAGTTCCTTAAGATATCATCTCTCTCCTGAAGTCAGCTATAGTTTACTTTTATTTAAGAGTCTATGTGGGTTAGGCATGATTGTACTTTAGGCGCTGGAACCTGCTGGCAGGTTAAGTGTGCAGAAGTCACAGTATTGAAAACCATCTGGACATCCCGGAAGGATGGAGTGCTGCCTTGAACAAGTCCCCTGTGTCTCAAAACATCTTGGTTGCATGCAGAGTATTTCTCTGCTTTCCAGGTACAAGGGGATTGGAATTGTGAAAATGAGTAAACATATCTCTTTATGGAAAGAACATGAAGTACAAACATTAAATCATACTTGCATGTTATGCTGGTTTTCCTGCGTAACCAAGAGTTGCATAGGTAGGACTTTGATCTGAATCTGCATGCATCTTTTGTATTCTTGAGCTTTGTTTATACAGCAAGAAAATAGTCACGCCTACAAAAATGAGGTTTCTTAGCCTGTCTGTAACGTAGGCTTATTAAAGATGCAGTTTAGTATAGACCGTGTTTGAGTAAGGCTAATGTGTCTGACTGTTGTCCTTCTGACATGTTTGGACAACAACAGTGTCTCAAAGTATGGGAGTACACAGCTCTTACATGGGAAAACTTTGGGGGGGAAATTCAACACCTGCTATACTTTCCAAATCTGAATTTTGGACATATGCTGCATGTCCAAAACCAAGCCATGTTGTTTGGTTTTTAAAAACGCTTGATTTTAAATGACCTGTCTTATGCCCAGTGTTTTGCAACTCCTTGATCTCACAACTTAGTTATTAACTCTACAGTTCTGAAAGTTTTCTTTTGCTTGCTAAGCTTTTGAAACCTGGGTCAGAAAGTCCATGTTTCTTTGACTGGTGATCTGCATGTATTTCTGTTTTCAGGGTTTGTGAACCAAAATTTGTAAGATCTTGGGACTTATTTTCCCTTGGCAATATCAGTCTGACACATCTCCCCAGGTGTGGATTTGTAGAGGACAGCAGACTTCTTTTTTTCCCCTGCTGCTTTCACCTGCTGCTGTGTGAACAGCACCAGCTATGGTGTGGTTGCAGTGCACTCCTTTTATGTGGATACAAAACTCTCCATTTGCTGATACTTGCTTTTCCCAGTGCTAGACTTTCAGAGGTCCAAGCTTTTCTTGTGTGTACTTTTGTTGCTATGCACTTAAACATAGGCAGAAGTCTCTTGTCTGATCAGAGGGCTGGCTTTGATTTCTGTGCTCAGTACCAAACACACCAGTCAATTCACGGGCCAGTATTGCTTCTCAAATGGCAGTAGTGCCTTGGAAAGTATTTCATTTCAGAGCTCCATTTACCTGCCTTTCATGGCAGTGGCTTGTGCCCTGAAATGCTAGTTCAGGACTTTCAGGGTGTTTGGATGTGATGCCAACTCTATTGAAGAGGAAAAAAAAAAAATTCGTGTATGCCAGCAGAGTAGTCAATGCAGAGTCTGCTCCTTGCCAAAGTGCAAAGTGAATTTTGCATCTTTAGAGCTCTTATCAAAGGTTGCTTTGTTGTATCTGGAATCATAATGTATTCGAAGTGCACTTCAGTTCCTGGTGCAGTTGTCTGTCACCTCCTAGACTTGAACTCCAGGGAGTGCAGTGAGTACTTTTGGTACTTGGCTTAGTTCTTAGGGCTTGGTTGATGCATCAAAGCTGTCATGAAAGGCTTGTGATAGCGTCTGTTGACCTCAGGGCACTAAGGGAGAGCTCTGGCCGTCAGGTGGTGCCTCCATGCATGCTGAAAGGTCTCTTGCTACACAGTGCTGGAGTTCAGAGGATGGAGTAGTGGGAATGCTCCAGTAGGGCAGTCCTATGTGGAGAGATCCCAGAGAGGCTAGCTGTAACGATGTACGTGCACACGCTGTCCCGGCTGAATTGAGTTCTTGAAACTTTTTGCGTTGATCATTTAAACTCTTCAGTGCTGGCTAGCTGCAGACATCCTCTCTTACTGAAAAGAGGATGACTCTGCACTGGATGCCTGCAGTAGGCAAATGACACCTCTTGTGTTACCTTATTGTAATGACACCTCTTTCAAGTTCTTCTGTCTGTTGTGCAAGTAAAATGGATATGAAGAGACTTTTAATTCTGGTTGAAGCTCTTGAGTATTGAGAACAAGATTAGTATTGTTAAGAGTATTGTGCTACCCTGTTAAGGTAGAGATTGTCAGTCTGTCATGGTTTAACCCCAGCTGGCAACTAAGCACCACATAGCCGCTTGCTCACCCTTCCTCCCTGGTGGGATGGGGGAGAGAATAGGAAGAGCAAAAGTAAGAAAGCTCGTGGGTTGAGATAATCTCAACCAGGACACAGTCCCATGAGTTTAATTGCTCATGCTGTCAGGACTTTGTCTCAGTACTGAGAAGATGAAACCCCATAGCTGTTGTCCTTTATAGTACTGGTTCTCCTAGATGCTTCCTTTCCTCTTGGCATTGCTTTGACTGCAGTAAGCTTGTCCCTTCCTAGCTCTCGGAGGGGGTTTTTACAGCAATTCCATTTTGGTATATAGGAAAGGAGAAGGGAGACAAACTAGTCCAGGACTGAGATAGGAACTCCTTCAGTCAGCACCCTGATTCTGAATTTCCAGATATTTACCTCCTCACAGAAGAGGATGGTTTTACACTTGTGTCTACAACAAACCCATTTTCATATTGTTTGCTGTGCTCTGACAGCAGTAGTCTGAAGTTGCCCATCATGCCTAACCCCTGTCTGTTGAGAGTTAGGCTGTTTGAGCTTTTGATTGCCACTTGGGTTTTTATCAAAACTAATGCCAGTAGTTTGAGCATCTTGGAGGTTTTCCCTTACTGTTTAGCCAGTACATAAAGGCCTTGAAAGGTACAAGCTCATAATTCCTTTTGAATTGAGCTGGAGAACTACTTGTTTTGGCCTCCCAATATATTGCAAGAAGTTACATCTGATTTCAGCCTGTTTTTTTGCAGTGTGTTAGATAAATATTCAAATTGGTACCAGCTGGGGATTTCTTACCCAGGATCAGTCAGCTGTCTTGAAGACCCACAGAGTCAGCTAAATGCTTCCTTTGTGGTTTGGGGGAGGATGTGTTGGACCATCCCTGGACACGTGGCAGTTGTACTCTTCTTTCAGGCCTTAGCCAGGCTTCTGCTATTGGCCTTTCACTTTGTGTATCTTCCCATAGTATGTTTTCTTGATAAACAAGTCTGAATAAGTTACCTCTACCCCTTGGCATGTTCACAGGCTTTTTGGTGCATGTGTATGGATATGCTGTATTACTTCTCTTCTTGGCATGCTTGCTCAATGCTTTGAAGGCTAGGGGACAGAAGTTGAAGGAAGGAAGCTTGCACTGTCAATGTGTGGTGCTCAGAGCTGTTGAGAACTTATGAACCTTTCGAAGTTGCCAGCACTGTGTTTTGCATCTGAAAGGAAGGTGGTATCAGGAAGAGGGCTGTCAAAGTCCACGGACAGATCTGGCACAGCTTCTGATAGGTTTACTGTTCTAGTCAAGAGCACTGAACATATGTTTGCTGATGTTGGTTGCTTCAGAAAAAGAAGATTTGTTCAGACTTTGCAGCATGTTATCCAGGAGCTGGCTGAGAGCTCCAGTTCACCCGTGCTGGCTCTCAACCAGGCTGAAATTTGGTCTTATTGTCAGGTATGTTTTTGCTGTTTCTGATGATAAATCAGCATCTCTCCCCTATCAGGGAATCTTTAGAAGGTGAGGTGGGATAGGTGCAGATGATACTGGTGCATGGTTCTGGGGTGACGGTTCTTGTGGTGGAGAAGGTTTCTCCTTTTACTGGGTGTGAAGCAGGGAACAGTCTTGCATCACAGAGTTAGTTGGCTCTTGTCAGTTGGGCTTGTCTCTCCCCAGTGAGAGAAAGTTAGTGGATTGAGCGTGTTCACCCGAGATGGTTATCTGCATGGACTGGATTGTTAGCTTAATGTTGAGCCTGTAGTCCATCATTTTTATCAGCTTCCCTCCTGATCTTTGAGAATCTGGACAAGCCCTAGGCCCATTGCAGTCTTGATGGCAAAAGCATCCTTCTGGCTAGTCTCTTCTTGAGAGAACCTGGGAATTCCTATGCCCGTTTTTGCTGCACTTTGCAGGGAGCTGGATAGTGATTTTTGTCATTACCTGTACTTAGTGATAAGCAGTTGCTGAGATATTTAAGAATAAACTATGTTTAATAGAACTATGTTGTTATATGTGGAAAGACTCTGAATATTGCCCCCTCATGAACCTGTGCAGGGCAGCGTTTGGGGTTACCAAAATATGAAATGTTGACTGTCACACGAAGGAAGTTACTTCCTTCCTAGGAAGATGGTAACCTTAGAGATGTCCCTGCCATAAGTATCTCCCATTTGTCTTCCTCTCTTCCACAGCCTTTGCTGCATGTGTTTTGATAATATATTGGGATGAAGTAATGGCACAGCTTGAGGCATGTGGCATCGAGTGTTAGGCAGGGCCTTAGTCTGTGGTTGTGGTGCGAGTCTCTAGCATGGCCTATTTGTAGCTCTCTGAAAAAGTCATGACTGGACGTGTCTCAGATCTGCTGAAGAATTTCAGTTGTAGGTAGCTTTTTTTCATCTGTGTAGGCTTGTCGAATGGTAGTCTGTTGCATTTAAGTCTTAATTCTGACATGTCTGGGTTTTATTTTTAGCATCAGGCTTGATCCTTTTCAGATGCTATTTCTTTCTACCCCTTGTTCTATCTTTTTAAGTGTGATTTATCAGGTAAAGAATACTTGTGGATTTGGGTTTTTTTCTTCAGCCCTTCGTTCAAGAATTCAGTGGGGCCTTGCCTTTCTTCCACAAATAAGTGAAACAAGTTACAAATAACACCGACAAGTGAAGATTTTCTCCTGGCGCTCTTATTGTGGAGGGGAAAACATCAATACTTGGGATGTTACCTTCAGTTGGGATAGTGAAATATGCTATGATTCTGAAATACTTACTGAAGTTACAAATTACCAATGCAATTAAAGAAATGCATAGTTTGTAAGGTCTTCCTGATTAGAAACAACTGGATTTGACTAGTCTCAGATACCTGTACTTCTCATATACTGAGAGTTTTATTTAAAAGTCCCAGGACTTTGCAGATGAAATTTAACTTTGAGAATCTAAAACTTAAATTAGGTTTAGTGTGCCTGCTAGACTTTTGCTGTTACACTGGGAAGATGATTCGTGATGCGTGTTGATGGATATCTCTGAGAGAAGCAAGTGTATTGACCTTCAGGTGTTATTCTTGGTAAGAGAGAGCTGAAGCTATCGTTTTTGTGTGTATGTGAAATTTCTAGGTGTAGGGAAGGTTTTTCTGACTTTTTGACCTCTAGTTACATTTTTCCCACCCTGGACTAAGAACTCCTTAGTTGTCCTGCAGCCAATGCTTGCCTTTGCTGTTCGGTTTTGGGATTCGTCCTGTGCTGAGCTCTTAGTCATTTTGTAGCATCTTTATTGCTTATACAAGTGATACATCAAATAATATTAAGATTGTAGAAACCAAAGGTTGTTAGGTATAGTAACTCAGCTCCCCATCACACCTGATCAAGCAGATCTTCAGATATTTTGCTTGTGATCATGCAGAAGGCCCCATTTGTGTAATGTTTTGTACTGTAGTTAAGTGTCTGAGACAGCCTACCTTGTTCTTAATTGAAATATTTTAATCTACCTTTTGACCAGGTATCCAGCTCACATTGAAGAAATTGATTATGAAGAAGGAAAAGTACTTATCCATTTCAAACGCTGGAACCATAGATATGATGAATGGTTTTGTTGGGACAGTCCTTATTTGCGTCCCTTAGAGAAGATACAGTTAAGAAAAGAAGGATTACATGAGGAAGAAGGTTGTGCAGTAAGTAGAAAATAGAGGACATTTGAGTACGTAACAGTTTTATGTGCAGTTGTATGAATTATGACCATTAAAATGCTTCACTGTTGCTGTGTTGCCTGCTGTATAAGTCTTATGATTTATTTTAAATATTGGAAAACTAATCATTTTGAATCATGTTTCAATGAAGTGGTATGTTTCAGTAATTCTCAGATGAAAACACTTTTAACTACTGTCTTGTAGGGATTTCATATAAATGATCAGGTATTGGCATGCTGGTCTGACTGTCGCTTCTATCCAGCCAAAGTTACTTCTGTTAACAAAGATGGTAAGAATCACTTTTGATTGTCATGCTTGTTAGTAATGAATTTTTAATTATATTCTAACCTTTTTGCTTAGGTGGAGAGAGAGTACAACAGACAGAAAACAACTGTGAAAAGTTTTATTTTCAATTATATGTTTTGGTCTGCCATCAGCTTTTTTAACCAAACCTCTTATTCTTTCCATGAGAAAAAAGAGCTTTCTGCTGGGATATCCAGGCAGTAATTGCTTTAAGTATATGTTTGGGAAAACTTGTTTCTTCTGAAGTGTATTGTCAAGAGATGCATGTAACTGCAGTAAAACTAGTGTCAGAGCTGCAAAAACCCTTAACAAATTGGGGGGGGCGGGGGAAGCACAGCCATACTTCTCCTTTTTGGATATCAGTAAGTAACCATGAAGGACTTGTTCTTGTGCTGTGCTTTCTTTAGATTGACTATATGTTGTAAGATCAAGGAGAAAAAGTCTGTGTAATTATTTATTGGTGTATTCCACCAAAAATATTGTGGGGTTTTGCGAGGAAAGTATATCTGAGGAGCAACTCTATGCTTAGACATGCACCTTTATGCTTACCATAATTATTTTTGGTAGCTTCACTGTTTCTCCCTTACCTGGCCTGTGATAAGACCTCTGCTGTTGAAGTTTTTAAGAACCACAGATAAGGCAGCTTTTATCTAGAGCTAAATACGCAGCTGTTATTGGATTGGAGTATTGGAGAGTATTGGAGCTGTTAGCGGATGCTCTGTTAAATAACTTCTGATCTTTAAACTCTTATGCTTTATTTTCAACTTTTAGGTACATACACTGTGAAGTTTTATGATGGTGTAGTTCAGACTGTCAAAAACATTCATGTCAAAGCTTTTTCCAAAGATCAGGTAAGTCTTGTGTTCATGCTACTACTGTATTCTAAAATTAACAGTTCAGGTGGCTAGATTTGATGAATTATAAAATATGAAATGAATGAAAATTCTCTACTGCTAACATGCAATACATCTGAAATAAAATCTGTTAAAATGAAAAGGTTATGCAAATCTTCATGGAATGATTTGCAAAGCTCTCAGGTTCATGTTCTCATGAATGCACCTCTTGAGCTAAAGAAGTCAATAGGCATATAGATAGAACAGTTTTCTAAAAAATCATTGAAAAATTCAGAATGTACATACTAAAGCTAGTGGTAGGTTATTGAAACACACTTTGGTTGTTTCATCTGTTTGAGATTAGTTTAAATTTAAGGGATGGGAACTATGGAGTGGACAGAAACTTCTTTCCCAAAGTAACTACTTGATTGTCTTGAGACTTAAGAAAGCTGTCTAGTCATCTTTCACCTCACAACTTTGAGAAGATAAGCTTTTTTTTACTAAACCACGTTCTGCTTCTATGGTTTGGCTATTCTGCCAACCCTTCGCCTGCTCAGTGCTGTGGATGCAACCTTCAGCTCATGATGGAAAGTAGTAGTGAGCCATTCTAAAAAAACAAAAAAACAAACAAAAAAACCCCCAACAAACCAACAAAAAAAAAATCCTGTCCTGCTCATGGTGAGAAGAAAGAAGTGCTGCGTTGTACTTCAGTTTTCATGTGCAGGCACTTTGTAGGAAAGGCTGACAAGTTCTAGTCCTGTGTAACTTGGTTACAGCTTCTTAAGTACCTGCTTCAGAATAATTTTCATTACAGGAATGGTTTTAAGTTTGAGATCTTGCCACATGTTCCTGTGTGGTAGCTGTAGCCTGTGTTTTTAGTCACACCTTCTGCTTTTAGTTTTCTGGAACTTAAGTTTGAACAAAGAAACCTCCCCCCAACACAAGTCTTAAATACAGATTCCGATAATGAATGTTAATGGGTACAATTTAAATCTGCCACTGTTGTGAAGAGGCATGCCATTCCTTGGAGGTCTCCAGATTTGTGTATCTGCCAGGCTGGGAGAGAAAACTATTTCAGATTTGCCACAAAGTGCTCTTAATAGTTTTCAAATGGTAATAATTGTGCCTGGTTGGGGGTTGACTAATACTCAAAAGGGAACTACCTGAAGAATTTTCATTACCATAAGAAATATTTATACCATATTTAACCTTAAATACATGAAGTTGAACAATCTTAAGAAATATTCTGCATAAGAAAGGCAAAATATTTTCTCTCCTCTCTCCTTTAGGGAGTTTTGAAAGGAATTTAAGTTTTCTTCTCCCTTTAACCACTGGCTGGGAAGATTTCTCTTAACTCAAGAGATAAGTTACGCTAGAACATCGTGTTCTGTCCTTTAGCATAAAAAAAGCATAAGGGGAGAATTTCCTAGTGAGCTCTGTTTACACAATCAGAAGTAAAGTTTAAAAAAATACCTGAGCCACTGGAGAGCTCAAGATTCAGTTGTGAATGTAAGTTACTTAAGGTGTGTGTAGATTCAGATACAGCACTAATGTAGCAGCATGCTGGCAGTGGAAGGAAAGTGTCTTGTTCCTGTTCATCGGTAGGAGAGACTGTAGCCGTGAAGACACACATGGCTCATATCTTAGCTGTTCCGTAAAAAAAAAAAAAGCCCCGAAACCACCAGAGTTCTGAAGGGAGCAATGTAAGCTGGTCGTCTTTTCTTTAATGACAGTGTTACTCTGTCCCTATGTAGAGGGTGTAACGTGCTATATTGAACAATGATGGTAAAATGCTAATGACCTGCACAGTGTGAATGTACTTATGCAAGCGGACACAGCTTTTAAGAGTTCAGTAACATCAAGAGGTAATTCAGACATACTGTTTTTATGGCTCCGTTTCTTAAGAATAACTTAATTAAGATGGTTACGTGTGTTCCAGTACCACATACTTGATTCAAATCGGATGGTTCTATGAGCAGCACAACTGATGAAACCTAATGTCTGAGGGTTGTTTTTTGAGTTTTTTTTACTAATGTTTGAGTTTCCGCTGAAGCTTCTCCCATAGCTGTGGCATTTAAGGAATTTACAGAAGACAGATTTTTATGATGCCTGGTAAAAGTGGTGCTCAGACACCAAGAAGGTGAAAGACTTTCTTCCCCTTTTCCTAGCTGTTTTCATGAAAATTTGATCTTGCATTTTTAAAAAGTCATTTTTTTTAATCACCTCTGTGCCAAGTATGGGGTTGAAATGATATCATAGAGGGTGGAGCAAATTGCATATTCACCATTTTATTGCATCAAGATTACTTCTTAGGACTGTGGTCTGAAAATGGCAATCTTAAAAAGTATCAGTTCATATAAGCCACATATAGGTAGGAAGATTGGGGTGGGAAGAGGCAAGATGTAGTGTAGTACAAGGAGATAGTCTTAAGTGTATTCTCAGAATTTTGTCTAATTCAAATCAGCTGTTCGGCTTTCTTTCCCCAAAGAGGTATCAAGAGGTACTTAGCCTTTCTTGTCCTCTGATCCTTGTTCAAAGTTTAAGCTTGTTGTGCCTTGCAGAACGATGTCTGGAAGGGAGTGTTGTTGCTCTTTAATGCTTTGAGGTATTAGGCAACAGGAAGAGGGAAGTTAGTTCAACTAAAGGCAGTGTTGACACACGACCAAATATAAATTATTAATCCAGGCACAAAGTTGGAAGGTTTCTGTTTATCAGAGGAGAGAAGTCCTGGGGCAGCCTGTGGCAGGATCATTGGAAGGGGAAAAAACCAAAAATCAGCATCCCCCCCCGGTGGTGTTAATATGAAACCTGATCACAAAATGGAAAGGACATTGAGTAGCAGTGACCTGTTGATACAGGGATGTTCTTCTTGGTTTGGTGTGACTATATAAGAACTATGGGGAAATGAGATTACAGTTGAATATTGTATCAGTAGCTTGCTGGCCAGGGACTATTAAGGATTTTCATGTCCTCTCATGCCGAACACAAATTTTAGAAAGACGAAATTTAAAGTTTTGTTTTTAAATTTAGATGTGTAAATTTTAACATTGTGTGGTTCCTGATGAAGTTGGTGTTTGCAATTGCTTTACATTACTCTTTACTTAGCATGTTTCAGTAGCATTGATAATTACAAGCTAAATACTGGTCTATTTTGAATGAGACACTTCCGTGAAAGGAAGACAGTTTTTGCATCCAAATGATTGAGCTGTTTGCCCTTTTCTGTGCTCTTGACTCCCAGTCTTTCTTCAGTGTCCCAAGCAGGCTTTAAGTAGTACTGTGCAAGCTAGTATGGACCTAACCTGCACATGAGGACGAAGAAGCAGCAAATCTCTTATACCATTGAGTTGTGAAGAGAGTGAATCTGTTGCGCTGTCCTGTTGAAGCTGCATGGGTCCTTGAATAGTTCAAGTGCCCCTACGTTTTAATCTGTGGGTTGCAATAGAGTTATATGCTTTTATCCTTTGAAAAATTGGACAAGGATGCAAGTCTGCTAAATACAAAGGGGGGGGGACACGACTTCCAGATTGCAATAAGGTAGTTCTCATATGTCATTCTCTTTATTCTAGAATATTGTGGGTAATGCTAAGCCTAAGGAAAGAGGTAATGAAATTCCATCATCTCCTGAAAAGCGGGAGAAATTTAAAGAACAGAGGAAAGCAACAGGTAATGCAAAGAAAGACAAGGATGAAAAGACATTAAGGACTGAGAAAAGAGTTAAGCAACCTGATAAAGAAGGAAAATTGATAGTCATCTCAGAAAAAGGCAAGGTCTCAGAAAAGAATATATCTAAGAATGGAAAAGAAGATAAAGAGAATATATCAGAGAATGATATGGAATATTCAGTAGATACACAAATTGAGAAGAAGCCTGAGAATGACAATGTAAAGAGTCCACAGGAAAACGCAAAAGAAACTAAACGAAAACGTGGAAGACCACCGATAACACCTCCAACAGGTATGTAGCTAAACTTAAATGTTTAGGCCATATGTCAGAACGCTTCTAAACTTACCTAAAGGAATGAAAAGTATTTTGCTCTTTCACAGCCTAAGTCTCTAGAAACTTTAAAAAAAAGTTTAAACTCATGTTTGTTCAGGCTTGGTTAGGACAGCTGAGAGCAACATACTTGTTAGTCAGGTTTGGAGCTTCGGTGGTGTGGTCAGAGATTGGATTTAGGCAAGTAATCTTCATAAAATATAAAACGTCTGCAGTAGGATTAAATGCTAGTATATAGACTTCAGAAAGCCAGGTGAAACTGTATTTATGCTAGTCCAGTATTTTAAGTTGTGAGGCTTGGGAATTTATGTTTTAAAGAGTTTTGCAGCATCGTTTCCAGTCAATTTTTGTTCTCCAAATATGTAGAGCCAAGTTCTCAGACGCTGCAGCCCATAACTTTGGAGTTGAGACGTCGGAAAATACCTAAAGGAGGTGAAGTTCCATCAAAGCGTCCCAGGATTGAAAAAAACTTGTGTAAGTATTTTTTGGTATTCAACTCTCATAATATTTGTACATACAAGTTCTTGAAGCTTAAGTGGAGGGGGGAAAAAAAAAAGTATTAACCTTGAACTGTGATACATGAAATGGCTGAAATGCAGCACCTGTTTTTCTTAAATTGGCCATTCATATGTAGCATAATCATGCTGAAATTCCCTCCTAAATCTTGGAAGCTGGGTTTGGATAAAGGAGCCACAAGCTGTGAGTCTTGATGCGGAAGTTCATAGGCATAGGGGGGAAGCAGTGATTATATTGCCTCCAATACATAGAAGGTTATAAAAGCCTTTTTCTAGTTGTAGAAACTCTTTAGTTACTAGATGGAGGATCTACCACATTGCTTAGCAAAGAAACTTTAATACTAGATAAATATTCATGTCACTGCAGTCTAAAGCTTCTACTTTATCTTGGTATACTGTAGTGATGTTGAAGAACTTGAGTGTGTTGATGAGGAAAGAAAATTATATTCTCTGTAGTAGTATCATGAACAAGGAGATGAAGATCTGAAGAAGGCTGTCTTTCCCTTAAGACCACAAGGTCTTAAAACTTCAGTGCGCATACATTACCCAGCTTAGGGTCAAAGTTGTTTGTGTGTCTGAATTGTCTCGTCTAACTTCTGGTATTACTTAGGTCTGTGGGATGGTTGCTGTTTAAAGCAATATTTTACCGGTAAGATACTGATCTGTAGTCTTACTTCAAATCTGTTACTAAAAGAAAAAGTTGAGACCTCTATAAGATAGGCTTTTGCTCTATTTTTACGCTTATTTATAACTGTTAATATGATTATAGCTTTTGCAGAGAGGTCTAATTACCAGGGCTGTTTAGCTTTTGCTATTAACCTCAGTCCTTAAGCACACTTTCAATTGTCACTGAGAGGGGAGGTCTTTAAAGTTTGCTTGTGAGCTATTTAGTAATCCTGTAACTGCATGGTACCATTAAATTTGTCTATTCCAGCTCAGGAAAAATTGAAGAGCTCTTCAGATAACCCTGAAAGAGACCAGATCAGGAGACGATCTTCAAGACTCTCATCTAGTATTAGCCATGAGATTTTAAATACAGATCATGTTACAGTGTCAACAGAAATTCAGCCTTTGAAAGATGCAGTATCTAACCAAAAGGAATCTGAGAAGGGTAAACAGCTTCCTGGTATACTCTGGATTCGTGGTGGCATGGCAGTCATCTAGTTGTTGTTGCAAGCACTATATTTTTCACTTGCATAACCTGCAGGCTCTCTATCTGCAATTAAAACCTGATTTCATCAGCAGTGCAGAGAAGACTCAAGGAAAGTTTATATCTCTCTCTGCTGCCCTGATTGCATTTTGCTTTTGACTCCCTCCCTGTCAGTAACCCTAGCATTTCCCTTGCATGGTGGGAGCTTTTCCAGTAGAGGGATAACTGGCCTTGCAAAAAGAGAGCTCCATAGGTTGTAAAATAACTTAAAGGAAATGTTGTGGGGTTTTTTGTTTTCCTTTTTTTTTTTTTAAGGGATGCAGGTTATGCTTGTGAAAATGAGGTAATTACAAAGTTTTAACACTTTTAGATTGAAGAAGTAACCCAAATGCTAAATTTACAGTTTAATCCTCCTGTTGAACACTAAAAACACTAAGCGGGATGCTTTTATTCTTAGACTGGGTGGAGATAATGCTCCCTTTTTCTGCCCTGTGCTTCACTGCCTTTCCCTTTCAGGGGAGGGTCTGATAATGGTTTGAGGAGGCCTGTCCCATTTTAGCCTGTAAAGAGTTAGCAGCCTGTGTGTTTCTAAGCAGCTCTAAATTTAGTGGGTTGCTACAAGTAGCTGTTTTGTAAAAACTTAACTTTGTCTTAATACAACAGCAAGCAGTCTGAACATGAATGGATGTTTGTCTCCACTGCAATGTGATGAACACACACATCAGTGTTCTGGAATATGCTTTTGTGTGCATTTTACTCAATGAAAACTTTTTCCTCCATTCTAGTCCAGTTAGAAATTCCTGTTGAATCTGACCAAAGTTTCAGTGAACAAGGATCTCCTGGAAACACATCACATAGCACAGCACTCAGTACAGATGCCAGTTTACAGGAAGAAAAAGTTGAAGACACTGAGTCTTCCCCTGTTACTGTCAGAACTCAAGAACCTTCTGCTGCTACAGGTTCAAATTTTGATTTCATATTTAATATTGATGCCTTTCTTAAGGCAACTGATGCCTGGTGTTTCGTGCTTGTATGAGTGTCACTGACAAAAATTGTGCGTTCTTGCAATGTTAACCATGGGGGAAAATGCATATTTTTATTCCTTATGGACTCAGTTTTGATCTTATGCTTTGGAGATTGACAGCAATCGTAATTTTTAAATGACTGGGTGTAATATCTTTTGCAGGTGAATGATGAAATTAACAAATGCTTGTTTTCAGGTTATAATTTAATGTTTGTAATTCTGGATTAAGTTGGACTAACATCTTAAAAGATCAGGTTCTATTTGTCATTTCTGTGCTGCAGGGGTGTGGTAGCATTGATGTTTGGAATCCTGATCATGCATTTCTATATCCTTATCTTTTGGCTTCTGTTATACTTAAGCCCTAGACTATTTAGAGGTTTTAGTGCAAATTTATGAAATACTTCAAACATTTCGGTGTCTGTCTTAATAATGTATATATTCTATTTTCTCTTAGCTGGGGAGTGTACTTACCTTGCTTTTTCAAATTAAAATTTCCTATACAGATAGTAGACTGTGCCAAAACATAGTGCTGTCCTGCGATTATTTCTCGTAACTTTAATACTCGGATCTGCAGCTAACTGGGGAAACTTGAACTACAAATTCCCTAGTTTATGCTCTATCAAAGAAGCTTAATTTTAAGTGGAACAGAGCACCTAAAGGGATTTACAGTTGCTCAGTATTGCTAGAGTAATCTGTATGTGCTAGCTTTCATCCTGTTTGTTGGTTATTCCAAATTTACCCTCCTGCTTGCACATGTCCTCTTTCACCCACTCTTGTGTAACTGTACAAATGAAATGTCCTCTCCCTTTGCCACTGATGTGCACCTTCAGTGCGGGAAGGAATTTACCTCTTTTCCTTACCTCAGATTTGATGTGTAAATGGTCTTTTACTATTTAAAAATTAGAGCTCTCTTGATCTTGCTCTCCTTCCTAACCAGGCTGATGATATATCCACCTGTATTCTAACTATGGTATATCCAGAGTCTTTTCAAGCTGATGTGTGTTGGGGCCATGCCTTTCTTTCCCTACATTCTGGCAGTGAGTTCAGAAGATACAGAGTGGCTGTGGATTCTTTTTGCTAGTCAGGCTGCTATGTCCTTTTCGGTCTGTAAAGTACTTTTGGGTTTAACTTTTTTTTTAACTGATGGGTTGTAGCTTGTTTTGACTCATGAAGGCAAAACGACTGTTTGGTTGTTGTACCTGAACAGAACGTTAATCTCTCTGATACAAGGAAATGCCATTACTCTCTGTAGTAGCTCTGAGTACATGAGCTATTGACGCATGCCTGCAAGTATTCAAAGCAAAGTAAGGATGTAAAAAGTGTTGCTCCTTCCAGTGGCTATGAATTTGTTCCTCCCTCTTTTGTAGCAGGTAGAACTAATTTAATGTACACTTTAAACTTTAAATACTTCCTCTGAGTAATTGCAGTGTAACATCACTGGTTTCCTTAAGTTCATGTGCTTACAATTGGTGAAGCTCCTCACAGGCGCTTGTCAGGTACTGCTCTAATAGTCTGCCGTCCGGATTAGCTAAACTGGTACTGTGTCTATTAGAAGTTTGCAGCGCCAGCAATGTTAGCAGCTAGTGCTGTGCTTTGTAGCTCTTTCCTTTGGAATTTAAAGTTACTCTCCTCCAGGGTGCCCTTGAAACCGAACAGGCATCCTTGAATGTGATTTTAAGATGAACAGCCATGTCCTGTTTGCAAATTTTCACCCTGGAGTAGCTTTTGCAGATGGCAGGAGGGGCTGTCTGCTGTAGCAGCAAAGGAGCGTTAATTTTTTTTTTCCTCCTTCATTGGATCTCTGGAAGATGTTCCTGGAGTTCTTAACAGAAAGACTGCAGACACGTGTGTCACTGAGAGTGGAAAGAAATGCTAAAAAGCAGTGATGCTTCTTGATCCTGTTGGAATCTTGTGCTTCAGGCAAGCAGAAAGAGTGGTGGCTGTTGTGACTCCAGTCTTAGGCACGTGAGAAGGTGTGCAGGTACAGGCATGGCTCCAAACAGGTACAGTGAACTGAATTGCTCTGAGGTGAAGCGTGCAGGACTTGCACCTTAGACAGCTCTTCTAAGAGATATAGCAGATCGTAGCAGTTTTGAAAATGGAAAGAATTTTTAGTATGTCTGAAAAGGCTCACTTTTCAGCCTCTGACAAACTATTTAATAGAAGAGAAGGTATGGCAAAGCTTTCCACTACAGTGGATACAGTCACCTTTTGGACATGCTTTATGTAGGAAAACAATATGATAAAATGCTTTTTAATTTCAGTGATCTTGCATGACAAACTTACTGCATTTCTTAAAGTGTGTTTTTTAACTGGCAACCATTTAGCCTTTTATTTTGTAAATTCCTGCAAATTTTCAGTTTGAAGTGCAGCATTTTTAAGATGACGCTTATCTTTTGTATAATCTTTTGGAGGTACTCATTGAACTGCAGATTGATAAACCACAACTTTGTTTGATAAGGTCTGAGAATTCGGAGAATGGTAAATCTTGGCTTTTTGAAAGAGCATACCATGTTAACAGTATGGAAAAACTGTGTTAATGGTTACAGATGTTCTTCCAAACAGTTAATGCAGTATTAAGAAGGCATCTGCTGCCATTGCCTTTGTAAAATATTCCAGAAATAGTCACAGAATATTCTAAAAAATAAGATTTTACTTGGTACTGTAAAAGTGTAATCACAAAGCTTTGGGGTTAATGGTCAAATACTGTTTTAAAAAATGCCTCCTGCAAGGGCATCTGTTTTCCAACTTAAGTACTCATTTAGGATGCAAAGCTTTTCAGGGTGTTTCACAATGTCTTAGTTTCAAGTAACTATGAAATCAAAGGTGTGTTAAAAATTTTTACTGGGGTACGTGAACTGGGGTGTTGTCATAGCTGTATGGTCATCTTCAGAGAAGGCTTCTTTCTTTTAAAAAAGGGAAGTTTGGGGATCTGAGTTCCGGGCTATAATGTAGTGAGAGCTAGTATGTACTCAGCAGTATGTGTTAGGGGTTACAGCAAACAAATCACTTCTAGTGACTATGAAAGAACAACTAGACAATACAGACTTGGTTGTGTAAAAATGTTACTTCTCTGTGTATTCGTTGCTGGTGTGCAACTGAACCATTGGGAGTTCAAAAAACTGTGATCCCTTTGGATATCTTTTGCTGTTATTAGCACTTCCCTCCGACTTCCTAATGTATATATTGCTGAGCATTTGTAATTTGGGCTTAAACTGGGGAGAATTCCAGCTGAATGTATAATACCTACGTGTGTGTTGTCAGTCACACTGATGTGATGTGCGGGATGTGGACTTCTCCGGAGCTTGCTTAATTGGATACAAGGCGTAAAGCTGTGGGAACATGACTTGGTTCACTTACCTACCCAAAGCCTCTGGTATAGCTTGTGCACTCTTGACACTGGCACTTCTGTCAGTACTTGAGTGATCTGGATTAAAGTTAATTCAGGAATATGCACTCATATTGAATTCTGACTTGAAGTTCAGCACTGTGGTGGTGTCTGAAAATCCACACTTCCGAACGTGGAGTTTGTTTCATTTAATTAAAGCCATCTCATTTAACATTAGAAATGCCAGGCATCCACCTGGCAAGCAGGTGTTTTTATTGGAGAAGACTCTTAAGGATGGGAAATAAGAACTGTACAGGGTCTTTTTGAATTAATACTGTCACCTGAAATCCAAGTACAAAAATTACATGTTTTCATACTTAACCAACATGAAAAATGTTATTAACGAGTGGTTCGTTGATATAAGAGTTTTAAAATCCATAGATCCTATTATGGATAAATCTTCTGTAGTTAAAAGTGGGTTTATGTTTTCCTGTATGTGCTTCTGTCTTACTCGTGAGATCGTGTCTGTATGTACACTCCAGTGCCGATAAGCTGCCTGAAGGGGGAACAGTAAGGCTTGAGCTTTCACCTGGTAGTAGCATGTGTGCACAGCAGCATGACAGAGGCCCGTTGGTGTGGGATCTAAAAACATCTCAGAAAATCGCCAGTGGCTTCCTGCTCTTGGGGGCGGCTTGTGAAAGAGTCTGAGCATGCTGTCCTAAAAATAACTGGTGTTGGAGGCTGAAAGCTGAGTTAACTTATTTCGTGGGTAATTATCAAGGGAACATTTGGACATGTCTCCAAATACTAATAACTGTATGTCAAGCAGTTGTATTCTCAGACTGCCAAATGTATTAAAGAGATTTGGGGTTTGGAAAGGGGAGAGAAGTATATTGTCAGAGTAGGTGGTGCGGGTGGAAAAAAGGGGTATTTCTTTGTACGAGATTCCCACAAAATAAAGCATGGAAGTTAAGGTCAAAGATAACTGCTCGTACTTGGAATAAGTGCAACATTGTAACCAAGTAATAACTGTCTTTATTTGTCTGTAGGCTTTAAGTCCAGTCATTTGATGGGAATTCATTCTCTTCCTGTAGGAAAATGCTACAAAACATAATAAAATTAATAACCTTGACTTTCTTCAGTGTGTTGTGTTTAGTGTTGTTTTGGCATGGGTGAGTGATGCACCCTGGTAGTACTGGTTGTAACCTGCATGATGTATAGGAAGAACATGATTTTTATAGCATTTGAATATCAGGATTTTTTAAGGACAAAAGCTCTTTTTAAAGAGTGTTTTCCCAGTCACTGGTTGGTAGATTATTCAGATTTATAGTAGTTGCAGACATTTGTAACAGCAAATACAATTTGGACTGTTTATATGCTTGTTATGTTTTGAAATGTGTATGTCTGTAATGTGTTCTGAAAGGGCAATATAGCATTGCTGGTCAAAACTTAAGTTCCTTTCTTAAAATTTTCAGCAAAATTCTGATTAATTACACGTACTAGAGGATGAAAATCCTATTCTGCTGGTTTTTTTGGCTCCTCTAATGTTTAGGGACCAGAATTGGTGATTAGGATTTAGGTAAATCAAGTTGTCTTTCAAAAAAACAGGTGACAGTCTGTTGGCAATTTCTTGCAGCCAGTTTAAAGCTCTTTCATATATGTGAAAACAGGCTTAGAAGCACTCTACAGCTGTTCGTGTGACTTTACTCTTACAAACTAAATTAACTTTAGAGGTGAGCTGCCTTTGCTTTGCACAGATCTGCTATCATGTTTGTAGTTGTATTTCCCAGAACTCTTAAGATTACTTTTTTATTTGCATAGGCATACATCAGGGATTCCATTTGCCTTATACTTAACCACATGTTTTTCTAATTTTGTCACTTTTAGCTTTGGGTTTCAGTTAAGGAGAAGCATAATGTCTTTGCATTTCTCACAGTTTGAGAGCGCAGCTGTGTATCCTGCAGCTTACCTAGGTAGGCTTTGATTCCTTCAAGGTAGTGTAAAAGTTGTCATTTTAAGCCTAACAACATAGTACATAAAGAAGTCCATCCTGCCTTGCCTGCTTAAGAAAGTTCCTTACAGCTAGACACCATGATCTGGACACAGTGTTTCAGTTACACCTCAAAGTGCAGATAAAGCCTTTATGTCCACCCAGCTGCTAGCCCCCTCTAAAGGTATGTTGAGGTTTGCACAGTAGTGCACTGCACACCTATAAGCTTTTTGTGCAGTATAGACCTCCCTGTTTTTATTGTTACAAATTTAGTGCCAGCACAGGGAGAAAATGGTGAGTGGAGGATCAGATGAAATACTGTCTTGAGTAGTTCTTGCAGTGTCAAGTAATGTTTCAGGCTCAAAAATCACAACTCTGTGAACATGTAATGATCTGTGATTACTGATGCTGTTGTCTATTTATTACACCAAGCATCTACTTTATCTAGTTGAGTGGATTCTGGACACACTGGAAATGCTTGGATGCTGTCCTTACCTAAAGTAATTTGAGAAGAGCAATTGGGCAAGGTGTTCTTTGTTTCACATCTGAGATCTTGAAAGACCGAGGTTTTTGAAAATAAAGGAAGAAACATAGTTTGGGTGCTAAAATGATGAACAGGAACACTTTTGGTGAGCTCAAGAAAAACAACACAAGATTTCAGAAGAAATAAGACCAAAGAAATAGGTAATTAATGAGGAAGCTAGCCCAATGGTGGGAAGTGATCCAAAGCACAGTGTAAGAAGTGTCAGCTGGGCTAAGTAGAAGGCTGTATTTAAAATGTAGAGTGTTATGAGAATAGATGTATTCCCAAGCAAGCACTGGCTCCAAAATGGTTCTTCAAATTTTGAGACTGACTGTGCGGAACCGGTAACACTAGACCCCTACAGGTCAACTTTACATTTGTGTGAATAGATGGAAATGGGAGAAATGAGGTCTTGTCATCGCTATCCAGAATCACCTGTGCAGTTACCCCTGGGATACATAAAATTTATGTCTGCAGTTCGAGAAGGGTAATGGTAACAAACAAAATAATCTTGAAAATAATAAAGGTGGAAGCACCGGAGAGCATATGTTCTAGAAAGACTCGATGTGTTTAGTTTAACAGCAGGTAAAGGAATAATTTGGTCTTCACTTAATATTTCTGTGGAGACCAGGAAATAGAGACTAGAAGTCTCATCAGTTTAACAGGCAATTGTTTGTGAAGATCTAATGGCTAGAAACTGCAGCAAGGCCAACTTTATTTGGGGGAAAATGTTAAGTGTTACGTGCACTGTTGGCTTTCTGGCATAGCTTACCAATGCGTTGCAGAAGATGCCTCAGGATGGCAGACCTTCAGTCAAGATACTGTGCTGCTACCAAACATTCCTGTTTCAGCAGGAGTCAATTCAAACAAAGAATTGGGGGGGAGCCTCTTGTGGACTCAGAAACTTCACATGGTGACATTTTACTGTAAACTTACTGCTAAACGTGGTCTTAGCTTGAACCTTGGATAATACAGCACAGTAAGAAGTGAGAGGGGTTGCTGACTTGAATGCTGAAGGGATGTTTTTTCTCTGTAGTGAAAGTTAAAGGAGACACTGTTGTTTGACCTTGAGTCTCTGTGCTTAATATTGTAATGGCTAATTGAATGCCAGGTGAGGAGTTTTAATTTTGATTATAAACATGGAAGAAATAGCAGGTGGTAGGTCTATCATTAACTTTCTTCTGTACTCAAGAGAAAACACCCACCAAGCTCCTCTGAAAAGGCAAGTGCCTGAAAATCTGAAGCTAATACAGCAAAACTTTCTCTCCATAGAAACCAGTTTTAGTACCATGTGTTGTGAGCAAAAATTGTATATATGTGTGTAAGGATGGAAGTTCCCCCTTTTAGATGCTGGTGTAATGAGTCAGCTTCAGAGCGTTTGGCTGGGAGCACAGGCTCTTCAGAGGCTCTCCTGGGTGGCAGAGTTGGGCATCAGCTTCCTGCTGCGCCCTGGCAGCAGGGAGTTCTATTGTGTTACTTGTAAGGAAGGAAAATGCCCCCAAATGTGGTGGTGATGGTAATAATTTAAACTTTGTTTCAAACTGTGTGGGATTGTCTGTGGGTTTTACTCTGAATCGATTCCTTTTGCATGTTGCAGTAAGTTTTTTGTCTTCTTTCATTGCCCTTACCCCGTGTCTTTATTACTTATGTTTCTAAACTTCAGCTAATGTGATCCTGTGTTCCTCTTCTAACTTGTAGCTGATCAGTTAGAAGCCATTCCCTGTATCTTCTCAAGAATTTGTCCATCTCAGTGGAGGGGAAGTGCTCTGAACTTGGATACAGGGCCTCATCATGACAGTTGTGTGATGGTATAATAGTTTCCCTTATCATATTTGTAATATTTTTTTGGCTAAATCTTTGGACCCCATTACCCTCTTCTGCTGCAGTTAATTAACATGAAGATGGGAGAACTTATTAAATAGAAACAAGTTCTCTTTCATTGTCCTGAATGCTGTTTTTTAGCTTTATAGACAAGAGAACTTTTCTGCACTTGCTTTCACTAAACCCACAGGCCATTTCATTGACCGTTCCTGAAATATTTTTAATTCTTTATGAATGCAGCTTTTGATGGTGCATATATGGTGGGTATATTTCGATTTTGGTATTGGCAAACTTTGTCATTCTGCAAGTGTGATCCAATTGTCTGGCTTTGTTAGTCTTATTACCATAATTGCTTGAAGCAGCATCCCTGTCAGGATGTTGTTTTGGCATAGCCACATTAAGGTCTGTCTTTTTTTCCTTGTCATTATCTTTGTGAAACAGTCAAAAGCAATGTCTTCATTTTTACTATTTTCTTCTCAAAATTAACTGAATATTCTTTCTTTTAATCAGTCTGATGTGCATATGACTACTTAAACCTTCCCTGTACATCAGCCTCCATAGTATCATTACTTGTTTTTTCTCTATGAATGACTTCAGGTTTTGTTTCTTTGTCATAACATCATACTTAAAAACTGAGTATGCTTCAGATACAGCTATCTAGGATGCTTTTCTTCACTATGACATAACCTTTAAGTATGCAGCTCAGTAACACTCAGCATTTTTGTTGCTACATGCTAAAAATTTCTGAACAAGCTGTCCTGTGTTCTTACACCAAGATTGTGTTGACGCTACCTTTGACACTCCCATTCTATGCGTTCCTGCATATGTGTACTTGTGGAAAGTCTTACTCTTTCTGTACTTATTCTTGTTTGTAATATTTCTGGGTCCTTTTGTGTTCCTTGTTTTCAACTACTTCTAATATAATGCCTTAGTTTTCATTCATGTGCTGCATACCTTCAGTTTTGCATCATTGTTGCTAGGTCTGGGTCTTAGCTTTAAACACTTCTTTCTTAATCCTCCAAGTTTGAAAATACTTGTAAATATGGAAATTATATTTTAGTACTGGCAAAACAAATGGAAAAATTGTATTGTAAAAACGACAGCTCCTTTCCATTGTCCTCTAGTTGGTGAGGGATTTTTTGATGCTGTGTGCGTATTAGTGATGGATCTCTATATCTGTGTGTTCCCAAATTTCTACCTGTCCTCTGTTGTATTGGGTACAGATAGATACTGGTGACAGTAATCTGATTTACTCTTAGTTCAAAAAGTTTCTTTTGTGTATTTCTTAGCAAAAACATGAATTAAAAGTTTCTGAAATGCTGGAAGAAGAAATAGGCATTTACCAGGTCAAGTTTAGGTATAGCCCTGGGTTGCACAGCAGTGCTCTGTAAAACAGATGCCTTAAAACGTTCTTACATTTGAGTCTGAAGACTTCCCTTGCTTTTTTTGAGAAACTAATTAATTGTAGCTCATAGGGGACATTTTTTAACAGATAAAAGCAATTTTCCTTTTGTGTAGTTTCATTTTTCTCATTGCTACTTGAAAATTGAAATAAACTTCAATTTTACTTGAAAAATATAGTTCTGACATACTGCTTCCATTGTTCTTGAAAGTAACCAGACTTTTGGTGGTAGGACAAGGCATCCAGAAAGCAGGTAGCAAAATAGTTATAAGCAAAGAAGCAGAACTGTTTTCCTTGGAAAGTGCTTTCACCAAAGGTGTAAACAGTTATAAACAATTAAATAAATACTTGATAGAACATAATCTTCAGTGTTCTGACTAAAATACACAATCTCTGTGTAATTCAGTCTCGTATCTATAGTAGCACTATATACAGTGATATTAGCTGTTGGGCAAGGAACTCATAGAAGCAAAATGTCGTTTTTCTGACAGTAACTCATTCATAGGAACCCTGGTGTCAATTTTTAAGCACACAGTAGGGCAGAGTTTTCCCTTAAAAGCTATTGATCTTAAAGGCAGATACAGCATTAAAATTTTATTTTTAGCATTTCACAGCTGACATGTTTGAATGCATGCCCATTTCTTAACTTTTTTTGTTGTTTTAAGTTTAGGAAACTGTTTGATAAATATAGCAAATGCATGGGGGAATTTATCTGTTTTGTTCTTACAGTAACAAAACCTTGTAGGAGAGCAGATTTTCTTGCATCAAAAAAAGCTGCAACTGTTGATCAAGATCACAAGTTTAGATGCAAGTTCTTGGACTGTTCAAAATCCTTCCGCAAAGCCAAGTTATTGCATTATCACATGAAATACTTGCATGGAGTGGAGAAGGCTGCAGAATCACAGCAGAACCCTGTAAAAAGAAATATTCAAACCAGAGCTTCTTTGGCTTCTGAAAAAGCTAATCAAGAAAGGTCAAAAAGAGGACGGACCACAGCTGGTTCATTGTGTAAGTATGTTGCTGATTTTTTTTTTTTTTAAAACAGCAGCAGGCAGGAAAGAGCAGAAATCGATTTTCTTTTGGGCTTAAGGAGTTGCTTTAGGGCTCCATCTTAGCATGTTTCTTTGTGGAGAAGAAGCAGAATATGTGTAAGCATGTTTTAGAGAAGATAAAACTGAAGAAATTCCCTCATCTAGAAATATAGATCATGTTCTGTAATGAACTGACTACGCAGCTTCTTTTATTCCTTTGTAACAATTCACTTGAGTATTAAACCTCTGTTCTTTTTTCAAAAATACAATTCCCTGAGTCTCTGATCTCTTCCCCCCCCCCCCCCCCCCCCCCCCCCCCCCCGGCTTGACGAATATCTAAATAGTATTGTTCGAAGACTTTTGTCCTTTTCTGTATTAAAGAAACAGTCTGGGTAACTCCAGTTCCCTCCTGTTTCTTACTTGGTCTTTACATTTCATGGTCTGACTTCAAGAGTATACTTAGCCAGAAATCCAGTACCAGTTTCTGTAGTATTTACAGTTCTCATTGCTGGACCTGTGGGGGGAAAAAAAGTCCTAGTATTTAACAAATGCAATGGCTACAGCTGTACTTGAAAAATATCCTCACATAACTGATGGGTAGTGGAAAGGGATAAAAACCTAATGGTTGGGGGGATCAATTCTTAAGTTACAACTGCTTTGCAGTCTTCAGAATCACATTAACTTCTGCTTCACTGTCTTATTCTCTGAAGTGCTTTCTTCCTAGCGTCTTGCATAACATCAGAGTGACAGTCTAGGTCTAGCTGTGAACTGCAGTGTTGTTGTTGATAACCTGTCCAAACTTTGTGCTTGTGGACTGACTTCTCCTTGTACTGCAGGTCCATAAAAATTGTCATCTCTCTTGTATTCTGATTGAGTCTGTTTTATAAAATCCAGCTGTCTTTGCTGAATTCCCTGGCGTTTTTTGTCTTTGCATTTGATCTTTCATTAATATTCTGTTTAATTAAGAATTTCGAAGTCTTACAAGTTGTTCACTGAGCTACAGCTCACTAAGCAGAATATATCTAGCCTTACTTTGCTTCATGTCTGCTTTTCCTAATGTGGCCAGCAAACATTTTTTTCATTTGAGGTGCTACTGCCTGTTCCTAACAAGATAAGTGTAACTTAACATACTGCTACTACATGTAAACTTCTATACTCCAAATACTTCTGCAACTTTAAATAATGCAAAGGCATAACATATGGTTAAGTAGAGGAAGATTTTTTTTCTTTAAATGCACTAGGATGTGCCCGCTTGTGTGTATTATGCTTTGCGTGCAGCTTAAATGAAACTGAAGTGCTGCCTTGAGAAACAAAACTGAGACGAGCGCTTTACGAAGAGTAGCTGCTAACAACTGCACAGTGATCAAAATAGGCTTCTTGTGTGTCATGTGCTTTTTCCATAAACAGACTTCTATTCTGCTTTTTGTAACTGCATAATTATTTTGGTTTGAGAAGTTGTTTTCCTGTGATTGGCTTGAATGAACTGACTAGTGACTCAACATCTTGACCCTTTCATTTATCCTTTCCCCCAAGTGCACACTGTTGGTTTGATGTCATCATCTTGGCTGGCTGCGCTGGCAGGTTATTCTTTATGGTGTTGAGTTGTAACTGTATTTGCTTATTTTAAGCCCCCACTCCTTTCATTCCCCATTTGTGGATGGATACTTTTAACCTGGATTGTTTCAATGATGTGCTTCATAGCATATCCCTGCAAATAGCCCCTGCGTTGTGCTGACAGCTGTTGAACAGCTCATCAAGGTGGAAGGCGGACAGTAAAGTTTTCAAGTCACCTTCACTGTCAAAGCCTGCTACTGTGGAGCTACAGTAAAGTTTTTTTCTTGATGAAGAAAAGTGGTGTCATTATTTATCAGTTATATGTCTGATATTGAGTGCCACTTGGTTTTTAACTCAGTGTGTTCGTAATTCTTCTACTTTTTGTTGTGGGGGTACCACACATTCCAAAGTAGAGTTAATGGGGTTTATGAGCTTATACTGTTGCATTTTGTGTTCTGTTCTCCTGTCTTTTCGCAAGCATCTCTTCTGTTCTTAATGGCATGTATAGGAAGACAGCCTGCTAAGTAAGAGTTTCTCCATGTCTACTGAACACTTTTATGTCACCTTTTTAAAATGCTTTTCAGGATGTACTGCTTGGTGAGAGTGAAGGCTTTTGAATACATAATTAAGTATGGTACATGGTGGGTTTACTTTTCATCTCTACAATCCTTTTGTGAGCAAAAATTCTTCTGTTCAAAGTGAATATATTTAAATTATTTAACCTTTTGGTACAAATGTCCTTTCTTTTCCTTAATACTTCACTATATTAGATAGGTTTTAGTGCTTAAGAAAAGGTGGCCATTTCTAACAGATAAGACTTTAGAAATCATGAGTCTTGTTAGTCCATAGGCTTGGAGATACTCTTGCTTTAGAAGCTTTATCACACTTAAGTCCTTATCCAAAGTAAGTTTTATTTTGGAGTTCCGGGACTCCTTACTGTTTCTGCTACACATTAAATTAAAAATAAATAAATGGTGGGGTGTACTGTTGGCTAGATTTAAAGTGAAAATACTTACTGCTCCTGAAGTTCTAGGAAATTATGCAATATTCAGAACAGTAGGAAAGCCTTTTCCTTGTAGTGCTTAAAAGTTAGAATTTTGACACATAAAAGATGGATGTAAGTGGTCTTCAATGACCACGTTGTTGGGACACAGGAAGGAACAATTTAAGTATAATTACTTTGCACTGAAGTGGAGACTCTGAAATTTCAGCCTCTGAAATGTAAATTGTGCCACTTGGCATTGGCTTCAAAACTTGAGTGAGCTGAAAAGGTTAATGTGGAACTGATCTGTCCTGTCTCTCCCTTTCCTTAAGAAGGATCTTACCTTTGCAGTGGCAAATTTGACAGATATCTCTCTCAATTCTGTAGTGGCTCTTCATTGAACAGAGGGGAAGGAACTACCATTGCCTAGCTTGTATTTTAGATATGTCTTACTGCTCTGAACAGAATGACACAGACTTAAATGGCTACTGGATGCATTCAGGCAATACGTCTTCTGTTTAATTTATCAGGAAATGCTACGAGATCATTATGATGAAACAGCTCTTCCCCCAGCCCCATGTTATAATACTTATCTCCATGAGTATTGCTGCTGTTTGGTCTTTACTGAAAGAATTGTCCTCACAGAGAATAAGGCAGTTGGTTTTTGTGTCCCCCTGGAATGTAGGAGATGCAGGCATTTCTGCCCTCAGCTCTGCAGGTGCATTATAGAGCCACCTGCAGCCATTGTTAAAGAGGAGAATCAAGACCTGCAGAAATGTATGTGGATACATAAGCTTAAAACAAGCTTTTTGAGCATAGGCTGCAGATGACTTCTCAAAGTCTGTCTTGCAGGAAAGAGTTGCTTAAGTTTTTGACAGTTCAAATTGAGATGTTTATCAAATTTATCACTTGGAAATTGAATGTGGTGTAGTATCTGTTAAAATTTTTGGCAGCTAGTTACTTGTTGATTGCTGTAATAAAAAAAGGAGTAGAACCACATTCCACATTCATATGCATTAACCTTGAGATAGGCTTTTTTTTGTTGTCCCTTCTCTTTCTCTGCATAATCACTTAGTTTGCTGTTGAAGTATGTCATCCCCTACTGTGACTTGTGCCCTGCAAACACTTACTGTAAACAACTTCCTCTGAAGGTGCCAGTTTCCTCCTTCAGATATGCCTGTCTGTCCATGTTATTTTATGTGAAGTGCCTGCAAAAGGTTATTTTTAATAAAGTTTGTTTCCTGACCTAGACCACTCCAAGGGCATGAGGCATGGAATAGCTTAAGTTAATTCTTTGTACTTGCAGCTCATAATTTGAACATCTGAAGTGTGTCTCTTTCTTGAGTATGAGTCTTTCTGAATCGGTGGCTTCCATTTTTTAGTAAAATCTTTTCATTTGGAGGTTCAAGAAAATTTAGTTCATGCCCTTGTGTTTAACAATTTTTCTGAAATGTGAAAGTCAACGTGTGCCAGACTTCAATACTTGCACAGCTGATGCACCTCACCTCAGACCTTGGAGAGTCTCTATACTTGATGAGTACTGAAGATTTGTCAGAAAATTCTAACCTCATTAGATGTGAACGAGTAGGGGATTTGATACGCGTGTGCAAGGAAATGCCATCAAAACCTTCACTAAGGTGGCTGGTGTACTCTTAATGCTCTTAATAACCACTTAGTAGTGCTGACAGACTTGATACCGCCCTCAGCACAACTGTTGTACTGGCAGGGACTTCATCGGTTGATACCCTTATGCTCCTAGGACATAGTTCAGTTCCCCTGAGGAGTCTTGCTCTAATGGAAGTTAAACCTGGTTTTGAGACTTTAAAAATGCCGTGCAGTATTAGGCTGCAATTTTGGTATCATAGAATCATTAAGGTTGGAAAAGACCTCTAAGATCGAGTCCAACCATCAACCCAACACCACCGTGCCCATTAAACCATGTCCCTAATCGCCTCATCTACACGTCTTTTAAATACTTCCAGGGATGGTGACTCAAC